TAATCTCTTTAGAAAGATTGGACCTTGGACCATGGACTTACTCTAGGAACCTGAAGGACCGCTAGTTGATCTACGAGTCAGTCTAAGAATATACATCACAAGTCATAAGTCTAATAAGTAATAAGTAACTAATCGACGTCTGTGTCATATCCTGTCATACCCCATTTATCCTTTGTATTCGCGCCTGACTTGCCTACTTATCTAATACATTAAATACCTTGGCCAAGGGATTCCCGTATAAGTCAAACATCAGAGTCAGGTCTTGCGGCAAGCTTCCACGGACGCGTCGCCAACGTGCGCCTTCCGATCTGACATCTCCTGAGCGAAGTGACACTGACATCTGAGAATCTGAAAGATGACGACCAATTTTAGCAGTGTGGGCAGTGTGGTGCATTGTCTGCAACTGAACCAACTCTGGCCTTTCCCCTCTTTTTCACTGCCAGATCTGAGACGGTGAACGGCACAGTGAAATGTCTGGAGCATCCGCAAGCAACTGGCGAGGTGTCTGCTATATACATACTTTACATGCAACATACTGAATAATGAGCATTGATCAAAGCAGCTGACAGCCGAGGATATGATTCTCCCAGTCTCTGGAACTCCCTGCCTACTCAACCATCATATGCAAAGGGTGGCAACTCAAGTAAGCATAAGGTGACTGATAACTGTGGTAACACCCCCCTCGAAATCAAAATTGCACTGCTGGACGCGATCAGAACAAAATTTCTGCGACCATGGACTACTGAGCATCGCTGGAGCGTCTCAGGAAAATCTCCCCATCCTTTATGAAGATGTCATGATCTTCTTCGAACTTTACACACTGGAAGCCGTGACCACCAGCTAGATTTGCAAAGTCTGGTTGAGGCGACTGATATGTGTAGCCAGCGGGAACCCCACTGGCCTTGGCTTGCGAAGGAGCCTTGCCACCCTGGATCTCCCCATCCGAGTCATGGTCAGAATCACTGTCATGGGAGGCATGGTCCTTCTCATCAAAACCAAAGTTCCTGAAGTCCATGATGATGGGTCCGTCTCCTACTGCCGACTTGGCGAAACCAGGCTGATCTGTGGAGCCACTCGAAGAATCACTTGGCTGGACTTGAATCTTCGCCTTCGCATCCTGCTGCTGTTTCTTCTCAGGACTCTCTTTCTTGATCAGGAAGCCTTTGGCAAAACCTGGACTCCACTTCTTCTCAGCCATGGCGCAAGGAAGGCGATCACAGGAGCTTTGCGAGACTTATTAGCCAGCTAAACTGAAACTGCTAAATGGCTTGCAGCGTGCAGCTTGGCCAGGTGTTCGTTCGGGACAGCAACATGTCGGGTTTGCTGGTTATACAGATATATCGAACAATCAAAGCAAACAGCTTATTCTGGCAGCGTATTTACATGAGGTATATTAGAATCACTCTATTAGAGTGCCATAGCCATTATAAGCCTGCCTAACCATGGCTGCCTGCACCGCACCGTACCCACGGGACAGAACAGGACCAGCCAAGGATCGTCGGTAAAGTCCCCGAGCAAATCCACGCCGGCCATGCCGTCTCCCTGCTGAAGGCGCGGATCGCCCTGCGGTTCAAGCCGGTTAAATTCTTAACCACGGCCACCATTCTCAACAGGTTGCAGCAGTGGCTTACTCTTTCACATTTGCACAGTGTCCACCACTGTAATGGCAACGGCTACAAGTAACAAGTACATTTAGTGCACTGTGCTGCTTGACTCAGCTTGACTCCACAGAATCACAAGTCCTGGGACGGTGTGCTGACGAGACTCAGGAAAGCCGTCAAGAAGGTCTGCAACATCTTTTGCCACATCCTTGGGCAGACAAACACTTGAGCACTTGAGCGGCTACATGCCAACAGCTGCTTTCGCTTTTCACTGACACCCTGAGATCATCGAATCATTGAGAACCTCGAGACCGGAGAAATTTACTTTATTAGACTTTAGAAACTTTAGACTTTAGACTCTAGACTCTGGGCCCCCGAACTTTAGAGACCCTACTAAGCCCTAGTGCCAACAAGACTCCGGACAGCCGTCAAGAAGGTCGGGAGCATCTTCTGCCACTGCCTGGCAGGCAATTTTAGATCGATTGTCTGCCGAGGGAAGCTTTCGCCGGCCACAAAACAACACATATCATGTCAGTGTTTGTCTGAGAATTCAAGATTGTCGGACAGACATACGATACTGCTAACTGCACAGCACTCACGGGTCAGAAAACATCACAAAACGCACGTGCCGACGAGCGTCCTGCATCGTAGGAAAGCCTGAAAGAAGGTCTGGAGGATCTTCTGCCGCCTGGGAAAGCAACAGCGAAGCGGCTTGGCTGCCAAATCAATTTCTCGCTAACCGCCAGAGATTTAGTCGGACCACAAATTGCAGTTCCTACCTGACTCACAAACCGGACACTAACTACACCGACGAGACTCCTCCACCGCAGGAAAGCCGTCAAGAAGGTCAGGAGCATCGCTTCTCGCTTCCTAGGGAAGCGAATGATAGACTGGCCACGAAAATCGCAGACATTAGTCAAAAATCAAGATTGGATGTACAGGAACTACAGACCCATGACTCACGATTCACAAGACCACAGCTTGATACACAAAGACTTTGGGCAGCCCTTCAGGCGTTATCTAATCCCAGCCGCTGGGTCCCAGCCATTTAGCGTTTGGAGTTTGGGATTTACAAGGGGTTGAGGGCTTCGGGCTTGCGGTCTGGGATTAGGAGTCTAGGAGTTTAGTTTACAGTATAGGGTTAGGGTAGCCAGTAGCTTTCGGTTTGCTGGCGCTCTGGGCTCTGCCTTCGAAAAAGAAGCTTGGTGTTTCGCTCACCTTCTCGGCTGGAAATGTGAATGACAACACATATTATTCCTTAAGCCTTAAGCCTTAAGCCCTTAGGCCCTAGGCTCTAGGGTTCCTTATCATGAATAAGCAACAATATGCCATAATGCCATAATATGCGTATGTTAGGTTGCGAGGTTTGGGGACATGTAAGCTACTGTAGGCTTCACAAAGGCTCAAGGTTTCACTCCTCCCCTCCACGCCAATCCGCCACCGCGGCACTTCGTGCAGTGCTGTCACTTCAATCCACCTCCCGTCCAGCGTTTCTCCACCCCTCCCGTGCCCAAGTCCCTATCTATGTGATTTCCCCTCCCCCCGTCTCCGCGCTTTGGGCAGTGCTGTGTCTGTGTCCCTCTTCCCGTCCCCTACCCAACCCTCTGAGCTGTCGCAGCTCCCGCGGAAAAATTGGTAAGCTGTCGCAGCTTCTCTGTATGTCTGAGCTGTCGCAGCTCCCGCGGAAAAATTGGTAAGCTGTCGCAGCTTCTCTGTATGTCTGAGCTGTCGCAGCTCCCGCGGGAAAATTGGTAAGCTGTCGCAGCTTCTCTGTATGTCTGAGCTGTCGCAGCTCCCGCGGAAAAACCAAACCTAATCACTGGACAACTAGGGACCAATGTGGGACCAGTTGGGGACCAAGGGGTGGACCAAATTGTAGCCCCTTAATGAGCCCCAAATAAACAGCCTGCGGAGGATTACAAAGTACAACATATGTTGATAAATAAATATATTATATGTCTATGTAAAGAAATATAATATGGCCATGGAAATGGTGAAATCCAAATGCTTGGAGCATAAATGGCCCTGAATCCGGATGATTACTGATTGTATTTCCAAACCAAAGCTGACGACTCAGATCCATAATGGGTCGCCCTCACCCCCCCTACGACCTGCCCGCCTAAACCCTACGAAACCCCACCTATACTTATCCTAAGCCAACGTCCGAACCGGACGGAACCCCTACCAAACCCTGAGCCCCTTGGCAGTCCTCCAACAGATCGACTGGTTCGTCGTCAACTTCCATGGCTCATGGCACATGGTCCGCAGGGCGACTTGGAATTTGCAGAATATAAGACCGGACCGATACTGTAGCCTAGCTGCGGCCTAGCTGTAGCTGTTTGAAACTGCTGCCGGAGAGCCCCCGGACTTCCGGACCATATCGTCGGGCACGGACAAGTGTGGGCTCATATCAATGGTTGAACCACCGGTGCAGGAAACCGGCTAGCTAGCGGCTATCGGATATCGGCTGACTCTTCAATTGCCGGGATTTTCCCGGATGGAGGCCGTCTTGAAGCAAGTCAGTGAATCTATCAGAATCTATCAGCATGATTTACGGATATCAGGCAATACTATCGACTATCGAATATACTTACTTGCTGTCCGTGCCCGAATGCCTGTCGAAAAGCCTCCTTTGATGGCCCAAATGCATGTGGAAAAGCGTCCTCTCATCGCCCCCATCGATGCGGAAAAACTGTCCGTGATGGCACGAAAGTCTGCGGAAAAACCCTTTGTAAAGCCCCGAATGCGTGTGGAAAAACCCTTTGTGAAGCCCCGAATGCGTGTGGAAAAACTCTTTGTGAAGCCCCGAATGCGTGTGGAAAAACCTCTCTGGATCGCACAATTACACACCCCATGCGTTTGGCATTTCCTGTGTTTAGACCGGCCCTCAAAACGTGTCAAACGCACCCCCCAAGGTTTAGAGTTAGAGTTTAAATTAGGAAGCTTAGGGTTCAAGTTTGGGGTACGATAACGTTTGCAAATGCGTTTATGGGGTCCGTGCGATGATCGAGGTAGATTGATTCCTCAGCTCGGGAGCAAGTTTGGCTTTCTAGGATTCTAGGACCTAGGACAGATGGACCTGTACAGGGTTCACGTACAGTAGATGGGGAAACCACGCAAACCATTTTTTGCAATTTACGGCATTTACGGATCGTATGCCCGAGTTGCACAACAGGCCGGCCCTCTAAGACTCAAGATGTTGACATGGTTTGGTTTGAGTTTTGAGACTTGGGCGGCTTAGCAACTGAAAAACGTAGATCCTCCAACAGATAGATTCGGGTCACTGTAAGGAATGTAAGGCCGGAAGGCCACGACCACTGTAAGTAAGTTGCCTCAAGCCGAGCCTTTTCTTGCATGGGCACGACCTCGCAACCACTGTGACCGGTACTCAGGTAGGTGTCAGCCACGGCGCGGAGCACGCACCTTGATTGCCCATCCTTCTGCCCTCAGACGACGACTTTCAGCTGCATGGTCATCAGGGGATATGTCGCTTGCTGCTTGAGCGAGCCATCGAACCAGATCGCGTTCCAAGTCGTCAACAGTTGCTTGCCGGCCCAGTCTTGCAGCAACGGTGGCTTCGCGGGGGGAATTCGATGGCGGCATCGTAATCATGCAGAAGCATGATTTGTGAACCTTGCACGTTGCCTTGAATGTAGGCTCGGAGATGCTGGCTATGTGGTTCAATCTCCTGATGGAAACGTCGTCTGCCTTTCTCCGGAAATGCCAGCACCCAGTATCGTATATGGGAAGCTCGAGGAAACCCGAAGCAGGAGGGATTGCCGGACTGATGTTGCCGGCTGCTCCAACCGCGCCTGCATTCGACGCGTCGCTCGGCGAAGGGCCTGGGTCTCCTTGGTCACCTTGGTCCCGATGTTCCGCATCGTCAGGTTCGGCCTGCAACTCTTCCACTTCTTCCTGCAACTCTTCCAATTCTTCTTCCCGAGGCTGCGACAGTGTCGGCAGCAATGTCACGACGCATTTCCTGCAACCCGCCCTCCAAAGGATCAAACTCTTCGCGTGCTTCCACCGCTGCTGGGGGTCCTGGCCGGGCACGTGGCTTCTTTCCCTGCTGCGATAGCAGGTCATCAAGCATGTCGAAAGCCTCACCATCTTGCGGCGGCCGTCTACCACGGCCTCTGCCCTGCTGATTCGCTTCTCCATCCGCCGGCAATGTTGCAGCTTCTGCAGTGTATGTTGTCGACAAAGCGTCCACATGGTACACATCAAGTCGGTTTCCCGCAAAGGTCCACTTCAACAAGCACACACGGACAAGCTCGACCTTAGAGTCGCCCACGAAGCACATTTGCGCAGCAAAGCTGTCTTCTGTCATGATGTGCATCCTTGGCAAACAGAAAACTCCTGGGCTAGACCTTGAAGCACAGGACTACTTGACAAATATGTCACGCCCTGAAACCGAACCGAAACTTAAGACTCAAGACTTAAGACTCAAGATCCTAAGCCCGAAGGCCCAAAGCCTTAAGCCTTAAGCTCCGTCGGAAACTCCTAGTCCTAGTCCTGAACCAAACTAGTCCGAACCCCTAAAACTTCAGGCTCTAAATGTGCAGTTCAACCCGATAGAACCAATAGAATCTAAAATCAAAATTCTGAATTTGGCTCTGATTCCGTCCAAGTGAGACAGCCTGATTTAAGGGGGGACGCCGCAACGTGCACGGAGCGATGAAATCATCGTGTTTGTGCTGCAGACTCATCCCCACAGCTTCCGCAGTGGAAGCCTTGGCAAATGTGGTGCAATATTTCAGACAAACGGTAGGGCCCGGTAGGGGCCGATCAGGGTCATTGGTCTGGGTCTGTGTGTCCAACCAGTATAGTATAGGGATATAGGCTTATGGCTTACAGGCTTACTGCTTGCTGAATACAGTTTTGGTATTTGTTATTGGGAGTTTAGTATAATAGACCCCAAAATCCGAAAACTTTGTTGTAGTTTTACGCCCCCCCCCCCATATTCGGGCTTTGGGCTCTGGGGGTTCAGGGTTTCGTGTTTGGGGTTTCAGGGTTAATACGTGTTTTGGAAGCTTCAGCTTTGTTGGGTGCCGGCTTGAAGGTTACGGTTAAGTTAAGGGTTTGTGACTGTGGGTTCCGGTGTTGGGAACCCTTCGGCTTTGTTGGGTTCAGGGTTTCAGTTTTAAAGGTGCAAACGGAGAGCGCAAACACCATGTTGCAGCTCCAACGGTGCCAGTGTCACCTGTGCCTTGTGATGAGCTTGCCTACCTGCAGCTGCAGCGATTGCATAGAAGCTCATGCGGCTCGGAAGCCCTTGTCCAGCAGCAACATGCTGCTCTGCTGCAAAGATCACACTTTCGTCATATATGCTTCGGACGTTTGGGCTAAGCTCCTTCACGATCTGGTGCAGTAAACCAACCAGCTTGTCATGAAACTGGATTGTGTTCAGCGAGTTGCTGGTGCGGCACAGTGCACCACACGATTGCGGATACTGCACCGTATCTGGCATGCCTGTCGCGGCCGCAAGCCGGGTAGCCTTCTTCTGAAAGCTGTCCACATACCGCTTCAAGTTAAACCCACGTTGATGGAAAACCTCTGACACAACGTGAGGTGCAATCGGAAACTGCTCCTCAGCTGTGGGAGGCCCTTGCCTCATGGCTTGCTGCACCACGGACTGTTGCAAGCTCTGGCAGGCCACAGGCTCTTTCGGCACCGGTGGGTTTGAACGACCGTGTCGAACAGCTACCACCCCACCTTCTCGGGCTGCAGCTTGGACGCCTTCCATAAGGTCGGCCAACGAGTCAGAAGTCACTGGCATAGCACCGTCGGATGCAGATGCAGCTGCATTGTCAGACCTGTCACCTGCACTGGCGCTTGTATCAGTAGCATCCTGCACCGGTGCAGTGTTGCGACGCTTGGCATCTGCCAGAGTCTTGGATGCCAAAGCGCGGGCTTGCAGCTCAGACTTGCGATTGGCATCCAGAGCACCGTAAGCCTTGCGACACGCGCTCCAAGCATCTTTCGAGATCGGATTCCACACTGTGCCGCGTGCCTTCTCAGAAAGCAGCCATTCCTTCCGGAATATCTCCAGCGCACTGCTGGCTTTGGGACGGCGGGGAGCAGCAACTTTGGCAACTCCTGCATTGGAGGCTTCACCTGACACGGAAATTCGGAAAGTAATGGGAAGCACCGGAGGTCACACCCAACCTAACTACCAGGTTACCAACCATTCAAACATTGTTTTGGGTCGTATGCCTGCTCTCAGCACGCGCAAACGCTCGAGGCGCTCCACGGCCAAAACTTGTTGACGGGCCTCTGTTGCAATGGATTGCGCTGCAAAGTACGGCCACTTCGTCTGATCATCACATTGACTCTTATGAGTCGCATGACGTCTTTCGACATTTGCCGTGGTAAGTTTGATGATCAAGCCATGGAGAAGGCAGAACCAACCTCGCAATCGTGACAACTGCAGCTCCCAAAAATGTGTCAGGACAGGAAATATATGATCAACGATTAATGATTAATGATTAATGTAGTGATGCAAGGAGGACTGAAAGTAACACTCCTGTAGTTGAAATTGAAGGCTAGAGTAAGACCTACGACAAGACCCACTGCAAACCCACATGATGTGTAGAATGCAATCTTGCAATAGCAAGTGCTGATACGACTGTTACGATTATGCACTTAAGTCATAAGTCACTTAATATTTATAGCTTATGACTTATACAAACATAATGACATGATGATGTATAGTAGTATAGCCTGTATAGCTGTATAACTGTATAACTGTATAACTGTATAACACTATACTATGATTTGCAACAATATGAAACTTGACAGGAAAGCGTCGGAAGCCAGGCAAGCTGGCCTCAAAGGTGGACTTGTCCATGCTTGCGCGGATTTCGCGCGCCATGCCAGGTGGCAGGCAGCAAGACCTGGCGTCGAAGAATTCGGTGATGAGTGAGGGGTGTGTACTCACGCACCTGGGATCGGCCAAGCTGTAAAGGCAACAGGGCCAACGGCATATAGTGGCAGTATACCGCCGATGCAAAGCAGCAGCCACCATGAGGAAACGACTCCTTGCTGCTCGGGCTTCGTCGGGACCTGCCGGAAATCTGTAAAGTAACAATTTAAATTTGAAAACCCATTCGACTTCGACCCTGCCTGCAAATCTTGGCCTTGAACCTCACCTTTCAACACCAGGCCCAAGGCAACATGTTGTTGAACCAGTATTGGCAACCATTGCAGGACCCCCCCCAAAAAAAAAATAAAAATAAAAAGCGCCATTGCATAACACCGCTATGGTATGGCCCAACCTCAACATGTATAACCGAGTTTACTTAAGTGGATAAACGGGCCCTGCTAGGCGGCAACTAAGGCCCAAACATGCGCGAATCCACGCGTCGACCGTTTCGTGGTCTGAAAGCCCAGCCAGCAATAGGAGACGTGTCCCCTGACCGCAAAGGAGCACCGCAAAATACTGTAACGCTCCGACATATTTGGAAGTCGGGCCCGACAGCTCGCACATGATGAAAAGCCATGCTTTGTCGTCCACGGCACAATGCGCGAATTTCAGAAAACTAGCATGAAGAAATCGAAGCGGCTCCAATGTGATCGAAAGGAGCATGCGATGGAAGCGCTCTTTGCTGCATTGCAGCATTCTGCATACCCGACGGTATCGCCGTCCAGCAAGAGCTCTCCACTCAACTTTGATGTCGGCTTCATCGTCTTCGGCAGTCTGTGGAAGGCTGTGGGCCCACACAGCCTTCCCAAGCAGGAAACTCAGGACTCCGCAATACTCCATGGCGAGGAAAGCATCCAGGCATGGACCGAGCTTGGTCCAGTCGGCCAGTAAAGGAAGAACTGGCTGGCTCTTAAACAGGACCTCTGTGGCTGCTCGCACGGCTTTCTCCTCAGCTTGTTGCCTCGTGGCGCAACAAGAATTGATGCAATTATGCACCAAAAGACCGCGATCCCAGCAACCGTTCAGCACGTCCTTGAAACAGTTGTCATACAATGCTTCGAGCTTCTGCTTGTTGTGACTTGATGATCCTGGAGACATCTCGCGGCCGTCGTGTGGCAGGTTTGCCTTCAGCATGTTGCAGATTTCTTCGCGGTATGCGCGCCCCTTGGCTAAGTCTTGCGCCGATGGATTTTGGTTCCACCGAAAGAAGCCGGGATCTTGCATGTGCACCCGGAGGGCACCCACGAGGTTCCTCGGCTCACAAGCGCAAAGGCAAAGGTCTACAGGCCTTAGGCTCCAGGCTCACTAGCCTGGGCCCAGGAGAGAACCCAGGATGGATCCATGAAACCTATCAATATCTAGAATCTAGAATCTAGGATCTAGGATCTAGGAATCTAGGACTCTAGGACTCTAGGAGCCGACAACTCGATCCGTAGGTTCCGGAACTAGACTTCTAGAAACGCAAGAGTCATCTGGATATCTGTTTGTCTCGTTGTGTGAGTGTAGCTGCCAATAAAGCTAACCTACTAGTTACTAGTTACTAGCAGTAACTAGCTAGCTAGCAGCTAGCTGCAACAGTTGCTAACAGAGTCCCTGCATCAAGAATCAAGAAGTGAGACGCCATTCGCAAAAATAGGGATCCAGCGTAAAGATTTGGGATAATCTTTCCGCCGGTCTCTTCCGATTTGGGAACTGCTTCCACGGCAGCTGTCACCACCAAATTAATCTGATGGTTTCCACACAGAACATGTTCCATGCATTGCGGAAAGTCACCTTTTTTCGGGTCCAAGGGTGGTCCAGGCTGTAGCAGTTGCTGCTCTCTGTGCATGTTGTAGCGGTGGGCGAAGATTTTCTCATTTGCCAAATGGCCGTCGGTTTCTAGCATAAAGCATGACATTCTCGCAGATGCCACGATGTCTCGAACCACGGTAATCCCTGTTCAAAGCAACTGACCTTCCGTTCGTTGGTATCTAACCTTCTGACCTTTTCGTTTGGGGAGCCTTAAAGGGGCTTTGAAAGCAGGATTTAAAGTGAGCATTGAAGACCATGAACAGTGAACAGTGGACAGCAACAGCAGCAAAAGCAGGAGCAGCAAGCAGCCGGAAAACAGATTGCAAATTGGAATGGGGGTGGGGCAGGGCAAGCTCAAAAATGATGTCGTGAATATATTGTTGCCAGAGGGAATATACACGACACTGTCCACCGTCCATTGTTCTACGTCTACCACCACTACTACCGCTACTACTACTACTACTACTACTACTACTACTACTACTACTACTACTACTACTTCCACTACCACTACTACTCCTCCTCCTACTAATCCTACTACTGCTGCTACTACTGCTACCGCTACTACTACTACTACTGCTGCTACTGCTGCTACTACTACTACTACTACTACTACTGCTACTACTACTATTACTACTCCTGTGCACAGGGAAGACCCCACCCAAGATGCAGCTACACCTCAGTTGCAAAACAATGGCGCTTTTTTTGCTCTCAGTTCTGCTCTGCCAGCTTCCTCTTCACAGGGCGGAAGAGAAGAACGTTGCCTGCGTGCAATCCACGCAGCTTGCAAACCAGTAGTAGTTGTGGTAGTAGTGGTAGTAGTGTAGTAGCAGTCAGTGGCAAAACAGCATCCGGCCGCAGTCCAGTAGTTCATTGGCGCCAAAGCCATCGAGAGCCCGACCTGGCTCATACGGGTTAGCATGGGAACCCATTGTTGAAAGCATCGCTCAGGCTCAGACTGTGATTCTCCATGCTGGTTCGTCCTCTTCTCTCAAGGTCCTGCGACCACAAGGGCTGATCAACACAATTGAGAAAAAACAACACGAGTCCTTCTCATCTTTCGCCGGCTGAGCACGGCGAATCCAACGTGGTGTTTGTGTACTCACCGTTCGAGTTGAACATACATCAACATCATCTGTAGCCGCAGCCTCGACGTCCACATGACAAAAGGGCGAGTCTTCTTCTGATTCTTGTGGGGCTGCTTGTGGCGACTCTTGTTGTTCTTGGAATTTGGCCTTTTCAGCCTTGTCTTCACCTCTAGGTTCCATTTTGCCCATCCCGACTTACCAGATCTGCCGCTCCGCTTGCTGGCAGGTTTTTTGGCAATCTTCCTGCTGTCAGGTTGGTTCTTGGGCTTTCCATTCTGCTTCCGGCCCATTCTCCACCAACAGTGGACAATGGACAGTGTGCATCCACTGCCCAACAGTAGACAATGGACAGTGGACGTTGGATGAGCTGTTTTTTGCAATGCTACTGCCCTAAATTTGCGACTACATGGTTCATGATTATGAAGAACATGATGCTGATGCCACATTCTCTCTGTCTAAAGGCTTGAGCACAAAGCACTGCGTGCTCCAGAAACTTGGCATATTTGTTCTATCAGGGAGCCCCAACAGCAAACAAAAACCGTGACAGCGCGCGCACACACAGGACAGTGCACGCAACAGCGCGCGCACAGCGCGCGCACAGCGCGCGCACGCCCATAAGTGCTTGATCACAGCAGCCCGTGCAGCTTCCACACGACAGCGCGCGCAACAGCGCGCGCGCTTCTGCGTGACAGCGCGCGCGACCACACACACAGCGCGCGCGCTGCTGCTGCTGCTGCTGTTGCTGGCGACAGTGGACAGTGGACAGAGTCTGAGCTCGTTGAGGTAGAATCCCAGCACCTGCAGGGCAAACAGTGTCACTGGCAGTGCCCCTAGCAACAGCCCCGAATCCTAGCTAGCAAGCCCCGAATCCCTCCCCCACTTTCCCCACCTATTTGCCCTCACCCACACCCACTGTACTGTTCACTGTGCACTGTCCACTGTGGTATGATGGCGAAATAGCAGGCTTGCCCAGGTCATTTTTCTCAGACGCAAAGAGCATGTTGAAAACCCCGGCTCTTGCGGCAAGTTGCTGGTGCCAACTGTTAATTTCCTGCCGTCTGGCAAAACTGGAAACTTGCCAGTCTCATGGATGCTTTGTCACCGTCACTCGTCTCAGTGGACAGGTGACAGTGAACAATGGACAGTGTTGTAGTAGGGCAATTATACGGCGTGTGATCCATGGGTAGTAGGGCAATTACGGCGTGTGATCCATGGACATCGCACACAAGCGGTTCAACCGCTGCACGAGCAGTGATACTGCTCAGAAAAACATGAGTCCAGGCGGCAGCGCTCATAGCCATCAAGGTACTGCTCGAAATAGACCATCCCGCACCACACACATATTTCCGTCATCTGCATCAGTTTCACTGATATGCGAACTTCTCCCAGCTCTTCATCAAGCAGCACACTCAATTCCTTCGCCAAGTCTTCAGCAGAAGCGGTCTCAGTCTCGCCCTCGGCGGAAACGGACATGAGCTCCAGGTTCTCGAGCTCCCTTTGAACATCCTCGACCTCGGAGTCGCTCTCCGATGCCGGCGAGAGGATTTCAGTAGGGGCTTCGTCCATGGCGGCGACGACAGTCGACAATGGACAGTGGACGTCCATGGCAGTGTCGACAGTCGACAATGGACAGTGGACAGTGGACTCAGTTCTGGAGCCAAAATTTACAGCGACAGCCTCCGTGGCAGCCAACAACAAAAGTTCATGTGCAGTTCTGGCAGTGCAGCTACTAATTACTACTATTGTCTGTGCTAACAAGCATCATCATGGCAATTCACAATACAAACAAGCAATCAATAGCAGGAGCAGCAGCAGCAGCACCAGCAGCAGCACCCCCTTCAAGGACCTGCACACGCAGGTGCTGAGCACTGTTTTAAGTAGTTGAAGGTCACGCCCTTTGGGAAGATGGTCTCACCCCAATACCCCCCCCTACGCCCAAACATCATTTTTCACTCATTTTTCACACATCCTAACTCATAGCCTTCTTCATTATCACATTTTTCACCAAAAACACACCTCGCACCTTATTCATTTTCAAACCTTCATTTTTTCACAAAAAAACTCAATTATTTGATAATACAAATTTTCACTCCAAAAATTTGTAGTATCTCAACGAATTTAAATTCCATCATTTTTCGTCATATGCCCTTATTCATTTTTAATTATATCTCTTCTCATTCGTTTTTTCTTTTCAGTCCTCCTTATTCGTTTTTCAATTGTTTAACCTTGTTTATTTTCAATTTCCGAAAAAAATTGATAAATTTATTCCCGAATATTAGCGGGTCTTTCATTTATAAAAATTATTCCGAAAAATTATCTAAAATACCATCTTTCCAAAGGGCGTGATGGGGTTGATAGAATTTGTGGTAAATTTAGGGGATTGCGGGGCAATGCTTCGCGTTTCGGGGCTTGGGTGCAGTAGTTCATACAATATAATTTTATTAAGTTGTATCAATTACTGTTTTTCTGCTTCATTCCTATTCTTATTCCATTAAGACAAACTCAGGTTTATTCATAAGAGTTCCAACGATTTTGTTAAAGTCCCTAATGAATACATCTGGATTAAAACCAAAATCGTTTATCTTAATTCGCATATTAACATTTTTCATACATTTAAGAGTCATCCAATCCTCATATATCCATTTGAACACTGTATATCTTTTTGTTGACAATTTCTTGAACAGACTATTTTTAACCCTGTCATAAATGGGAAAGTCATGTTTAGTTGAGAAAATAAGTCTATCTACATCATATATGTGTAGTATATTACGTCTGATAATTCCCTCTATCCTCTCCTTCTTGAACTGGCGTTTTTGACAACTACGGCAAAAATAAGCAAAGCCGTAAATATTATTAATAATATTTTCTGGTAGTGACAATTCATATAGAGTGGAATAACGTTCGTGTTTCTTACAATCTTTACATTTACAATTCCGTCGCTCTTCCTCTAGTTCCCTGAAGTAATCGTGAACCTTGACAACATCCAAGAAGTCATTTGTTATTTCATCCTGTTCTTGTTGATTGAACATTTTCACACTTAATATATATAGTCGTCATTTCTTTAAATACTTTCTTCCTTGAATGGTTCAAAAATAAACATTCTTATCGGCATCATATACAACATTATAATATTTCGTTGTTTCTTCCTTGGGTTGTTTAATGTCCTTATTATTAAGTTTGCTTATATAAGCACTCCTGCGATTATTATAGTTAGCATCCATAATATTAGGCTTATTATTGTTAGGTTTGATGTTTTCCTTATTACCTTCTAACTTGGCAACCCTTTCAACAAGGCTATTAACTAATTCTCTTAGTTCCGAAACTTCTTCTTTTAATTTCTTGATTGGGCTTTTAATTTCTTGAGAAGATTCACTCATATATATAAACCTATATTAAAAGTTTTAAAAGTTTTAACGCGCGTGTAAGACCTTCTGAATCTTCCTCCTCTCGCCTTCCTTCCTTAAGTCCTCTCTACAGTTCTTACAGTTTGACGAATAACTGTTGTTGCTGAAAATCACAAAGTTATTACTCGGATACTCCTTTTTGCATCTTTTACATTCAATGAGATGCTCTTTCATCTCTTTAACTTCACCAAATACAACAAGCATTATATAATTAGTTGACAAAATAGTTCATAACATAACGAAATGTTATGAAATATTAAATTCCTTAAGCTTTAACGAGCAAACAAACTAATTAGCTGATACATCTTATGTATATCAAATTATATAGACGTATCAAGATACTTCCCTTTCTCTCGTTCATCTACAATGCAGTAGGTATTACGGGGAACTTGCTAATGGGTTTTTCTTCTCCTTCTTCCAATTCGGTCTGGGCGACTGTACATTCTTGGGTTTTTTTTAAGAAAAAACCAAGA